AAAAATATGATGTTCTGCCGTAGCTAATTGTTTGGGGGTAATTGTCAATGGCTTGTCTTATTTTTGAGCATTTCCAAGATACTCTATATTTTTAAAGAGCACATTCTATAATTTAGAGAGCATGTATAAATGTAGAGTAAAAATTTTTAAATACTCAAACAGACTCTTTATATTTAGCAGTTGATTTTACCACTCTCCAAAAATATTTATTGTTTTTTTATATTTTATTAACTTCCCTTCAAATTATTATATTATTTTCTTTCATTGAAAATTAAAATATTTTGAATACATTTAATTATAGAAAGTGAATTTAACTCTCAAAATTTGGAAAGTCAAACTCACTCTCTATAATTAAAATGTTAATTTAAATAGTTTTTGGAGTATAATTTTAAGTAGGAGTGGACAAAACCCGATTGAACCCACCGAACCGTCCAAACCGAACCAATCCGACCGGTTTGGGTCGATTTTGTTGTTGTTTTTACACGAGTTGGCTGAGTTGGTTGTGTAGGCGGGTCTAGTCGGGTTATGAGTTAACTCATAAAAATCGAATAAACCAACCCAATCCGACTATATTTATGAACTTTACAAGTGTTATGACGTTGATTGAATGAAATTAAGTCACTTTGTTTCTTCACACAACCACTAAGACCTACAATATTCAGAAAAATCTAGATTAAAATGTCATTTTTGTTGGGAAATTTTGTGCAATAGTTGAAAAGTTTGAAGAAACCATACACAAATTATATACTACTAATTAATTAGGTTCTATATACGCAAACGCGATACACGAGAAGTCTTGAATATGTCACAAGACATGAAAACTCTTAGAATAATATTATAAGACTTGGACAAAATGCATTTTATGAAAAATAGTATAAGTAGATACACATTCAATACAAAAATATTTTAATAGACAAAAATATTTCTTGGCTTCATATAATTTAATATCAATATGTCTATACAATATTTTTGGGCATGAAGTGCCAAAATAATTCAGATTTTTTGGTCATTACAACTATAGAGATCTAATATTATATAAGCCATGAGTCAATTATAAATCCGTCAAACTCGACCCGCCTACTTTAATATTTGTTGACAAGTTGTTCCAAACTGACCAACTCAACCCAACCAAATCGATACTTGATTGAGTTGGGGTGAGTTTCAACATTTACACGGGTTGGATTAGATTAAATTATGACAGAACCGATCATGTTGGGTTGTGACAAAAATCGACTCAACCCAACCCATGCTCACCCCTAATTTTAAGGGTCGATTTTTTAAAATAGTTTAAAGAGTCTATTGCACTTTTTGAATCTCATGTATAAAAGAGAAGATGTAGAGAAAGAGCGAAGAAAAATTATAAAAATAAAATAAACATATTCTCCCGTAAAAATAATTATAGAAAATTAAGTGAAGGACGTCCACCATCTCTTTTTCTTTATACTAGTGAGAAGCACACGAAATATTTATGTCAAACATTAGTTACATAAAATTTTCTTATAAGTTGCTAAGTGTTTCGAAACAACATTAAATGTGGAGATGAAAAAAATACACCCACAGTTATCGAAGAAATCGAGGCTCACCTTCCACCACAGCCTCCAGTTATCGAAAAATGTCATCTTATTAATCCCCGATAGAGCAGTCATTGCCAATTATTTCATAAATCCCTAATCAATTTTTAAACAAAAGAACAAGAAAAAAACTCAAAATANTTTTATTACGTTAAATTATTTTTGATATTTAAAATATATTTATCATGGCCGCACTTCAACATTTCCAACAAATTTTAAATCGCTTAAAACGAATATTTGTAACTTAAAATACTGAATCAAATGTTAAAAAAAAAAAAAGTTAGCCGAGCTGAGCCATAATTTGGCTCGGCTATAAACAAAGTTAATCAAAGGAAGGAAAAATAAAAAATTTAGTCTAGCCCAGCCATTTAGTTCGGCTCGGCTCGGCTCGCGGCTTGTGAACGGTAAGGGCAAAGTGCCTCTTTTATTTATGTGTAGATATGTAAACATTTAGTGCAATCGATATCCTATTCAAGATATCCTTCTAAGAAAGCTGAATGCTAGCTGGGCTGGGAAAACTTACCCAACCATTGGTTACCTTTTTGGGGCTCTTTGATTGATAATGTTTTTTAACTTTAATATTGGATTTTACTTTCGTGGGGAGTTGAGAGAGAGAAAGATTAATTAAATTAATTAAAGTGTATTATAGAGTCTGAGTAGTAGTTTCCCAGGAGGCACGGGTGCTCCGCTGATTTCTCCAACAAAATCCCAGTTCCCACCACTTCCTTTTCCTCTTTCTTAATTTGTCTTCTTCTCATATATATTTCAATTCTGTATCTTCCACTTTCTCCATATATACACACACGTATACGTATATAAGTTTACATACATTTTAGAATAATGAGCATTATTTATCACCATTGAAGATTATAATCAATCCTCCTGCTTTTATCCAACAATGCTATAGGTACAAAAAATTTTCACAAAAATCATACGGTGGACATTTGACAGATTATCATTGGAAGATGACAAAAATAAAAAAAGTCATACATGTGTTGCCAACGTAGCACATGTACAATCTTTGTTTGTATTCATGTTACATTGACACAATGGCTGGCACAATAATTTACACAATACCACATGACGTTTTATCATTGAACGGTTTAAAACGCAGCTACATTTTCCATCCAATCACAAAATGCCACACACTCTTATGTCAGACAACGTGTCAGAATTTTTCTGTTAATGTAGCATTTTCCTCATTTTTATTAGTGTTACAATTTAAATTTCTTGGCCTCGACTGGGTACGTACAAACACGAGAAAATAAAAAATTATTGTAATATTGATCTTAACCAAATTGAAAAACAGAAAATGGAATGCATAATGTCATGATTTTAGTCAATAGGAGAAGAAGGAAAAAATATTTTTTCTAGATTGGTTTAATGTGGAATGTCTAGATGAATGGAGGGATAATTAACCAACATGAAGCCTTCTGGAAAATCTCACATTTTTAGCATATAGCGATCTTAGATATTAGTGCGATGATTCTTTATTTAGATTAGATATGACAGAAAAATTATTTAAAGATCACATTTTTTTAGTGTGCGCCTACCCATCCAATTAATTACCGTGTTTAGCTAGTTCATCCATAGATTCACTCACCAACATCATGTCACTTTGATTCACCGCTTGGGATTAAAGGGTCCTAATCGTTGACCATCACACATCCACAATCATCGAACCATTGTGGTATAAAATTTTCATCTACGAGTGAAGGCCTCTCTCCTTGTCGTGGAATTCCTTCCATCTCTACCATCTCATATGACTACTTCGTTGATGCTGTCACATCTTTAAATTGACCACCGAATTTGGCTGGAATAAAATCAATTTGGCTGCAATCACCATATGACGATTCATAAGAGTCTTTAGCCTCATGTCTCATTTCGAATTATGCCTTAAAGATTTGAATATATTTTATTGCAATGTGAATACCAATTAGTATATTTTTGAATATATCTGGTAAAAAATTCAAAAATTCAGAAGTATGGCCACAAAGATTGACCAGGAAAAGGAGAAACAATTATGAGTAACAAATGTAGGGAAGTTTACAGATGAGAGAGACTGTATTATATATGTATCTGATTCTCGGATTGTGCGAAAAACTCTCAGGTAAGTTTGACTGTGAAGAAAAGGAATCAAAAGATGGTAAAAACACATTGCCATTGCACTGGCCAGCCCTTTTTCACTCGTGAACTGACGATAAAATATTATCAAAAGACCTGCAATTGCATGCTCCTCACTGTAAAAATAAAATAAATAAACTGTCTCGGTAATATAATCACAATCATGCCACAAAACTTTTGACCCTTGGAAATCATTCCCTAGGGTTCATTTCACAAGGGTAAAAGTTTCAAATATGGTTTACAAAATACGTGTTGACAATATCTTAACTAATGATTTAAAAAACAGTTTTTGAAATCAATGACCTAAATCTTGCCACATCATTTTGTCGACAACCATCTTTTTACAAGTAGCATAATTGGGGTATAAACGTATTACAATTGTCTCGTCTGGTTTAAAAGTGTGTATATATATATACACCAATCCACCAATGAATTAATGTGCCAACTCGTCGGTGCTTAGGATAAGATGAACACCAAATTAAATCAATCAAATATATTTAATTAATAATTTTCAGACAAATACATTTTAGACAATTTATTTTTTTCTATGCAAATTTCTTGCTCGCAATCAAACGCACCCTTAGGGTTTCAAGCATGGAATTGAAGATTAGATCGAGGAGAAAGATTTCAAGATGAAGATTGGAGTTTGCATCTCAAGATTCTATGCGGGATTTTCAACAATTCTTTCTTTTCTTCAAGACTCGACGTGGGAATTTAATTTGTCCGATATTTATATGAAAACTATATAGATAAAAATATATAAACAAAGGTACCTTTCTACTTCTATAATTTTTATATGATGCGATTCTATTCTCCATCTATGTGCAACATAATTTGGCTTGTTCCTTAATCGTCTTGGGTTAGAATACATATGTACCCAAAATCAAATCGAGATGTGCTAGAGGTACATAATGGGCACTATAATGGTGTCCATCTCACTATTATGGTGCCCATTATGTACAAGGAGAATAACCCAAATCAAAATTATTAAAGATATCAAAATCCAAACTCTTTACCTTTAGCTACATCCTAACTAATATGAGACAAGCGTTCCTCAAAGAAAATATACATCACAAAAAAAAAAAGGAAGACAATAAATCCAACAAATAATATACTGTATTTCCTTGTAATTAAAGCCAACTTCACACGATAAAACTGAATGGTCACTCAAGTTTCTGCTATTATCCAAGGCAGCTGCATGATTCTTGCATGTAGCTGGAGTTAAAAACCAGCTGCTGCTATTACACCAAATAAATAAATGAATATTATGCAATCAGCCTTTACATATATATGAACTATAATCAATTAGTCACTCATCGAACCTGAAAATACATTGACCATAATTTGCATGACTTTAACTCGCATTTGCAAAGCTATTATATAATCTGCAGTCTCTCTGAAAAGCCTGTCCAATCCTATTGGTTCACAGTTTGGAATAAGTTTCTTCAGGGTTCTTACCTTCCTTTGAATCTGGTTTCCAGCTGGGCGGACCGGTCTCCGGGACCGATCTAGAAGTGCCCTCTTCTTCATTCTTGATTTTCTGTTCTTGATATGTCCTCTTTTGATGCTACCAACTCGTTGGGAAGACCGTTTTCTCCTGGTCTGGGATTGTTTGAGTAATTTGTTGAGAAATTCAAGGGATTCAAGAAGAGGCTGTTGAGAAACACCCATGATAGAATTATCTTGAAAGACTCTTGTTTGTGCACTTGATGACTCTTCGCCAAATTTTGATGTTGGAAGAAAACTCTGTTGTCGATGAGGTATCACAATGAGAGTTTTATACTAGATTTGAGACATGGGTAGGTAATATTGGGGTGTGGGACCTCATTACACTCATCTTTTATAAAATATATTTTGGAATAGGCATGTAGAAGATATTTCTATTAAAACTAGATGTTCTATCTTAAAATGTCAACCTTATCAAGAAGAGTATTCCAAAACATTTATATGTTAGTCTATGTTTCAATAATTATTCGATGTGAAAATATATCTCCGCAAAATGGTGACTCGTTTGAGTAGACTAATATTGAAATTCATGTGCTCGTTTTTTAATCTTAATCGAATCAAATTGCTCATTAGAATTTAATAAGCCCTGATACCATATTAAAACTTGAAATTTCATTTTAAAAAGTCAACATTATTAAAAGGAGTATCATAAATCCTTATATATTAATGTTTTATATTTCAGTAATTATTCGACGTGAAATTTATCCCTTAATAATTTAGTTGTTGTTTTAAGTTGTCCTAAAGTTTTTACCATATAAAGGATTTTAGGAGGATTATTTTTTGTGTTTGTAAGTCATCAAATCGCTTTGCACTTCGAAAATCTACGACAACAAACACTATACAAAAAGGTCGATTCAACGACAATTTTTTCCTTGCAGATGGCTAAAATTGGTGAAACACTCTCCGAAAGAACACACTCTTAATGGAAGCACAGATCGAATAAGAATTAGGACTTAACCCGTAACAACTATAGGTCCACGGGGCATATTAATATTACTCATCTTATCCTAAGCACCGATGAGTTGGCACATTAATTCATTGGTGGATAAAGATTTTGTGAGTTCCAATCCACCAATGAATTAATGTGCCAACTCATTGGTGTTTAGGATAAGATGAGCACCGGTGCTCATTAGATCATTTCTGTATATATATATATATATATATATTAACTTTTAATAAGTTTTGAAAGTAATTTTTTACTTTATAATGAGTAATTTAATTACTACATTAAGTCGAGCCAAAGCTGGAACAATAATAAAAGAAAACTCTTTTTGTGGATTCTTGATTAATAAAAAATTAATTATTTAAAACTTATTTTAGTTATAAGAAACCTCTTAAGCACCAAACGGGGAAACTAATGCTTTTTACATTGTGAAATTATTTTATTTTTTGACAAGGAGAAATTATTGATCCCACTACTCAATAATTAATATGAGTTGAAATTGTTTTTGTACTATTATTAATTAAAATGAAACTGTCAATATTCATTGTATATGATTTATGAGGAAATTCCCTTCGCGTGAAATTTTTAGTGAAAAATAATAATTTTTTTCATTGTATATGAATTTCGAATTTCTTCGACATTCTATTCTTCCTCGTCGACTTCATCTATGTAGCCTAGAAGACATTTTAATAAAAAGGGACAAGAGTCATTTTACATGACCGAATCATATTCAATAAATTTGCAAGTGGAAAAAATCTTATTTTGACAAAATTAATTTGAGCAGTTAGAAAAATATGTACGAAACTTGATGGCTTCAATTATAAATAAAAAAATATTATGAATTATATTCAAATTAATAGTTATATGAAAAAAAAGAAGATGAAAATCATAAATTACATTTTTTCCACGGTTTCTAGCTCAACAAGGTGGTTCTTATAAATCCATTTACATTATTAAACTATTTAATGGAGTTGAGATTTGCTGTCCAAAATTGACTGTCCAACTTGCCGTACATCCAATGATTCATTAACACATCACTATAAATTAGTATGTCTAACTTTTCTCTCACTGTCACACGTGCTTAAAAATTAACGTAAAATGATGTGTCAATTAATCATTGGTGGACGGCAGAGTCCAGCTCTTAATGATGCGGCATGATGAATAGTAAAAGAGCACACTTTCATACTTTTTTCTTAATAATTAGAAGATAAAAAACTAAGTTCATGTTTGAATTCACCAAACAGAATTTTCGAAGTTAATTTTTTCACTAACAAAATTATTTTTCTAGAAAAAAAGGTTCAAACTTACTAATTTCTAGAATGGTAACTTCTAAGTTAGATATGCATATTCTCTGAAAAAATTAACTTCGAATGAAAGACTTCCATTCAATACAAGGAAATGGCAGAGAACTACAGTTGACAAATTAAGCTTTTTTGTTGTAAATTATATTCAGGAAATATTTGAATACCTTAGGAATAACGAAAATTTGCATCCAATCTGTCCCTAAATATTGAGTATGAGACAAAACCCAAGAAGCGGAAAACAGGGGTTAGTGTCCTCGTATAGGATACATGCATGCATATTTGCATAATATTTTTTAGCTTATGTAATAGATTCTCTCAATATTCCACTGTTGCACGTTGTAGTTAAAAGATAGTGTCAGTCCATGCATGAATTATTGTTATGTGTACTGCACATTGCATATATTATAGAGAGAGAGAGAGAGAGAGAGAGAGAGTCCCCCGGTCGTAGCGGGGGAGCAGTTTGATGATTAAGGCTGAGTTTCTAGCGGATAACATAAAGTAGAATAACGTGATGGGGATATATGGGATGGAATGTGAGAAAGTTATGGGGGTGGGGGCGTGATGGGGGGTGGGGTGGAGTATGAGAGGGCAGCCTTAGAGGGTTAGAGAGAGATCACAGATATCAGAAAATGGCAGCCCTCCATATTTCTGACATTGATATGACTTATTTCCAACTGGGCATTAATGAATAATGGAGGGGGAGCCAACTTATATTTACTTTTTTTTTTTCCTTTGTATGTGGTGTCGATCACTAATTTAGTTGACAATGAAGCCATTTATGTCTTTCGAATTTAGGGTTTTGGATAGAGGTGTCAAGACGGACGGGCCGACCATGACCCGTAAAAACCGGCCCGTGAAAACCGGGACCGCGGGCCGACCCGTGACCCGCGCGGGCGGTTCACGGGCCAAGGAGGTGTAACCCGCGGGTTTCGCGGGTTGCACCCCCATGGGCCGTGGTTAACCCGCGGCCCGTAAAAAAAAATTTGAAAAATAAAAAAAATAAAACAAAAATTAAAAAANATCCCGATCCGGATGCCACGAAAATTTAGGGAAGCCTTTTTCTTAAAAGAGTTTCTGCGACCGGTGAGAAACCGGACTACTTTCGGGGTTAAAGGAACACCTTTCTCTTTCATATTGAGTCCTCAGAGGTGCGGCCCACTTGGTGTCGGATCAGCTCGACAGGTCAGTCAATAGTCTTTCGCGGAGTACCTCCTGTTTTAGTGAACCCTGGGAGTTGTCGGCGGCTCGACGATCTGTATTCCAAAGGTTTACCGAGGTGAAGCTTTTGGCAGGTATTCTCTTATTGTAGCTTTCTCTACTTCAGGCTCTTCCGAGGGCCTTTGTTTGAGGTGAGGTTCTATAGTTTGATGGTTACCTCTGTTCTCCTCTCCCTTCCCCGGTAGCTAGGATAGAGTTCTATTTCTCTTTCTTTCCTTCCGTTCAGGGGTACTCTAAAGGCTTTGCAACCTTTAGAGCTGGTTGACAGCCGTCTAGTCAGTCCCTCTCGCTCTTTTCTTTGATAGACATCGTTCGGTTCTCGGTCTCATCCGACGAAAAACTTTAGGTCCTTACGGATTCCCGGTTTCTGAAGGAGTAGCGGCTTGTGTCTCCGGCTCTGGGAGAACTTTACCTATAGCTAACCTAGAGAGCTTTACTTTAAGATAGCTCGGGCAGGCACTCTTCTTCGGACAGAGGAGTTGCTTGCCGTACCACACCAACCACCTTAGCGCTGGGAAGTTTACTGACGTGTCTCTTCAATCGGCGATCTGCTGCTATTATGTTCTTATCTTTTTTATACCATATCACTCTGCCAACCTTAACGTTTAGTTGTCGCGTTATTTATTTATTTACAAGCGTTTTTTGTTCAACATCGAGTGATTGTTATGAGAGCTTAAATTGAGTTAAGCAGATGAAAAGTAACTATCTCATGCTCTCATATAGCTAGCCAACAAAGGAGGTTTTAATTAATCTAAAGGTAAGAAGAATCAAGAACATCGTTGAACGTTCAAAGGGGGAATTAATGAAGATTGTTTTAAGATTACGAAATTACCACATGCTCAAGGGCTACTACCCATGTGCATGTTATTAGGTAAAAATATACAATTTGCATCACAAAGATAAGCTCAACTTTAATCTTGCTACAATTGTACAGAACCCCATATACATATATACACAGTTTAATATATATATTTCTATATTAGTCCTCATGTACCTTTTCATTATTAAATTTTTAGGTCACCAACAGAGATATATACTTTATTACATACTATTAAAAAAATATATATGAGTGACTTGAGGAGAATTGGAATGTGGTAGGTTTTAGTTTGACCAGAGAGTTAATTTGGGCACTTCCCATGATAAATAACTAAAACTCTCTATCTAAAATCTTAAATTTACATACAAAGCTTGAATTTAAATCTCTTTAATCCAAATTTGAAATCATCCATTTATTCATGTGGAATCTACAAAGATGAGAAAGAAAGTTTTGATAACTATACATTTTGCCATTATGAATTTTGTAATGTGTTAGTTCTTCGATGAAAAATTAATTTCACATATTCGAATGAACACTTTGAAAGCACAATTTTAGCCGCTGTAAATTCACACATCATGTCGCTAAAGATTTAGTCCATGATTGGTTCAATTAAAAGTTTGATTAAAATTTTAAGTTAAGGTCAATAATGAATTTTAATAATAGAATTTATGAATTTCATGACTTTTCTTTTGTATATTTCATCATTTTTTTTTATTGAAATTTACAAAAATTTTGATTTTTATGTAACCCAAATTGGGATTTCAACTCCTGGAAAAGATGGGTTATGCTACATGTATCCTATGGATTACACTTTTGTTTACTCGGGTTCATCGACTCTCTCACATGGGGGTCGTGTCCCACGGATTTATTGGACGTGGGACCCGACTGTGAGAGAGGGGGTGAGATCGGGTAAATAAGAGTGTAATCCATAGGGTACAAATAGCATAATTCGGAAAAGATAGGCTTCATCACTTGTGAAAGGCCAATAATACCCTTCATCAACCTTGCTCCTCTTGGTGGAATCATAAGAGGTTTCTTGGGATTTGGTTCTTGACTGTCCTTGAAGTAGAGTGCACCCCATTTATGGCCAATTGGAGGGTGTGAGAGAATTCATATAAATCTTCATTTTGCATTGGAAGAAATGATTTATTTTCATCTTTTGGACCTTTCCTCTTCTTCTTCTTCCTTCAAACTCCTCAGATTTTCTTCTGTACTTTATGCATGTACTAGAATATCATTACAGTAGGAAAAATCTGTTTCTCCACTAAAAACCCTAAAATGGATTCCATGAATAACTGGTTGGGGTTCTCGTTTTCACCTCAACAAGTACTCTCGTCACAACCTTCACAAAATTTAGGCATGAACTCAGATGAAATCTCTGCAGGTACAGAAGAGGTTTCAGGGGAGTGTTTTGATCTCACTTCAGATTCAACCATACCTTCTCTAAATCTTCCAGCCCCTTTTGGCATTTTAGAAGCTTTCAACAGGAACAATCAATCTCAAGGTCAGTCTGAAATTTCTTTAAAATCTGTGAACTTCATTTATTTCTCCTTCACGCAGACTATTTTCTGTAGCAGTAAATAGACCTATTAGCTTGTGTGGTATAAAGTATTGTACATGACGGAATAGTATACCTACCGAACTGGGGTTTGATGTAAATTTTAATCCCCTTTTTCCCTCTTGTTTTGATTTTAATTTTTTCTGTTCTTATGCAGATTGGAATTTGAAGGAAATGAGCATGAACTCTTTCTCATGCAGCAGTCAAAACCTAGAAAATCAGGAAGGACCAAGACTAGAAAATTTTCTTGGTGGGCATTCATATAATGATCAAGAACATAAGAAATATCAATCCAGTACTTGCAATAACATCACTGCATCAAGTCACATTTACCAAGAACCTGACCCTACTTCTCATCCAACGAGCAATCGCAGTGGAATAGGAATGAATGGCAATAGTACTATTGGCCTCTCTATGATCAAAAACTGGTTGAGGAATAATCCAGCGCTGCCACAACCTGAGGAGAACACGGCCAAAAATGAGGCGGAGCCACCACCATGCACTGCTAGTGCACAAACCTTGTCCCTTTCAATGAGCACAGGAACACAATCAGATTCTCCTTTGCCATTTTTGAATGGTAATGTGGGTGAGAGCTCTACACTAGACAGTAAACAGCATCCTGGGAATGCACTTGAAAGCCAAACTGGTGCAATAGCTTCAGTGCCAAGGAAATCCATAGATACATTTGGACAAAGAACTTCTATCTACCGCGGTGTAACAAGGTTTTTCCCATTTCTATTTTGTTGAATATTTTTCAATACTTTTTTCCGTCGGTGTTACCACGGTTTCTAGCAGTCTACTGCATTATATAGCTGACCGGGGTTGTGTTTCTGCAGGCATAGATGGACTGGCAGATATGAGGCACATTTATGGGATAATAGTTGTAGAAGAGAGGGACAAACCCGGAAAGGAAGGCAAGGTAATAAATACAGTGTCTGCCATTAACTATTTCTTTTATATATTTATGTCATAAAAAGATTTATTGGTTTTAATTCTTGTTTCTGTGTCTCCATTTTTCGAATGCATTTGTTGGGGGCTGATTCAATCTTACTGCAGTTTATCTGGGTAAGCAATCCCTTTTCATTTCTTTAATATTTCCATTTTTTGCATCTTTTTCCAATGGAAATGATAATTTTATATATTTGATAAATTGGATCTAATTTTCAATTTTTTGGGTAAATTTATGTAGGAGGATACGACAAGGAAGAAAAGGCTGCTAGGGCTTATGATTTAGCAGCATTGAAATACTGGGGATCTACTACAACTACAAATTTTCCAGTGAGTTATTTCAATAATTTTTTTTTTTTCCCATTATAGAGGATTTTTTCTGAGGATTTACTTTATGTTTGAACCTTTCAAAATAATTATTTACGTTGACCAGATCATTGATACAAATAATATTCAAATATATACCACATCCGACTTCTATATACTCTCCACAAAGTGGAAGAAGCTTTTGGGAAGGGGGCCAATCCCTTGAACCGCAATGATGAGAATTTAACTCTACGAGAAATTGAACAAAAAACACTCGAATTGACATATTTCTTGCACGTAACAATTGAAGTCTTTTGAGAAATGAAAATATGGGCTGAAGAATGACCCTCTTGATTTCTTCCAACTGTCAACAAATGTCATATATTGTTACCCGGGACACTTTCTGTTTACATTCCTGTCTCTTAGAAAGAATTACTAAATGATCGACTAGATAGGTGCAGGTGCTTTACCTTCATTGAAACAAAAGCTACAGAAGCACTGGCCAACATTCATATCAAGCTTTTAAATGTATAAGATAAAACAGATAAGAGACGTAACAGTATACGAGAACTAAATTACATAATACATTTTATGCTAGAGTAGTACTTCGTGAGGATATGCTTTTTATATTTGGAAGCTTGAAATAAAGTATGGGGTTTATTTTATTTGAATTATAATTGTTTTCAATAATAGATACATGCTTCTTCAAGGGGATTAATGAAAGCAATCTTGAGTGAAACAATTTTCTTTTTCTTAATCTCTGTTGTTTTAAGCATTTGTATTTTGAAAATCTCAGATTAGCAACTATGAGAAAGAATTGGAGGAAATGAAGCATATGACAAGACAGGAATATGTTGCATCATTAAGAAGGTAAACTGAAATTTATTACTTCATAAAAGATCAATAAAGTAGATTCATGCATGAACTGATCCTATCAAGTTTTATATTTTGATGAATCCATACAGAAAAAGTAGTGGATTTTCCCGGGGCGCGTCAATTTATCGAGGGGTTACAAGGTAAATTAAATGGCACGAAATATTATTTATTCAGATTTTTCATATGTACAATTGTATTTGGGGAATTAGATTGATATTATTTATGTTGGCGTAATTGATGACTTCTAGAATGGTGAACTCAGTTTTAGTGTTTACATTGCTACTGTGAAAAATATGCTAGAAAGGACAGTTAATGTTGTCTTGTGTAATAATCGAGATCATCTGTATTAGAACATTAATTAGAAGACTATGACACGACTGTACGAATAAATCTTTGTAATCTCATTCTCATGAGAAACCTTAGTTATTTTCACCCTTTGTTCAAACTTGGTAATTAAATTTCATTGTAGATTATGCATAATATATAATTAGCATTTGTTAGACCATTATAATCACGTCTCATTTAACATTTTGATCAACAGACATCACCAGCATGGTAGATGGCAAGCAAGGATTGGAAGAGTTGCTGGTAACAAAGATCTTTACTTGGGAACTTTTAGTAAGAGATGATTGATTAAAATTGAGATTGGACGTAGCCACGTTTTCCCTTCCTCTTCTCGGCTTCTTCTCCTTCTTCTTCTCAGCTTCTTCCCCTTCCTCCTCCTCTTCTTCTTTCTCATTCTACATCACTTAGTTTCGTAATTTGTTCATTTTGTTATAGAATTCTGGATGACAGTGCAAATTTGATGATGAAGTAATATACAAATGGGAACCAGCCTATAAGCTCGATGATCAAACCAGTTTTAACCTAAAATGTGATAGTTAATCTATGGCAATCCACGTAAGAATAAACCAATTTTGTATCTTGTGATTGGTTCTACATGAAAGATATGATACCATGAGCACTAATGATGCAACTTTGGATTAAGAAAAAGATTTTGAACTCGAGCTACTAATATGAAAAATGGAATGCTGTGAAGTTTNTTGAACTCGAGCTACTAATATGAAAAATGGAATGCTGTGAAGTTTTGGTGATTAATTGTGGTGTGATATTTGCAATATGCCAATATATAATGTATATATATATGTTGCTTCTTTATATGAAGCTCAGAAACATTTTTTTTGAGAGAAAATATAAATTGCACTTTTGGATGTCTTGTTGTTCTACCAGGTGAATTCTATCCAGAAGATGGTTTATATTCTACCTTGTTTCACCCATTAATTTGAAGTTTTAACTGGCCTTTTTTCCTTTCGAAATGAATGCTAATATATTATAGGGCGACAAAAGTAGAGGAATGACAACCTGTTAATATAAAATTTCTACAGATAATTGCCAGTTGTGAAAGCTTTTTATTCGAAGTTTTGAAAGTTTTCTTCAACTTGTGCATGAAGCTACTATTTTTCAGAGCTCTTGGACAAAATAAGCTGTAGAAGTTGACAACCCTCAAGCTATGCTTCCAAGGGATCAAAAAGATGAGTGTATGGACAGCACTTGTGCCCAATTTATTCGCTCAAATGCTGAAATCTCTAGTAATAAAAAGGTACTGACGAGTGCCTGAATCTTAGACTTCTGCTTCGACTTCACCATCAAAGACAATTCCTCGACCCAGCCAGAATTCTTCTTAACAAAATCCTCATCTAGTAAGTCTTTCACAGTATTAATACCTACTCCGTCATTGGCAACCGACACTGCTCGGGAATCTTGTATTTATCTAGATCACTAGGCTGGATCCCCTGCCACTTTATGTCCAGAGTAGTCAAATTTGAACTGTCATATGACATATTCTTTGATCAACTGGAGCTCCAAGTCCAAGTAGGCTTGAGGTTCTTGAAATTTACATCTCTTGTAGTGCTTCCAAATTCTTTCTCGACTCCATTATAATCGGTTATTCTATTAGCTTGTTTGATAAGATGAACTCAATTAGACTGGAACCTATACATGTAGTATAAGTTTAGCTTAACTTTTGTTTTTATTTCAAGCACACGAGAAAGCAGCCGAGGCTTACGACATTGCAGCCATTAAATTTCTTGAACTCAATGTTGTGACTAATTTTGAAATAAGCAGATATGATGTGAAAAGCATACTGGAGAGCAGCACATTGCCAATTGGAGGTGCTGCTAAACGCCTTAAGGATGCAGAAAATGCTGAACTGGCTTTAGATATACAAAGAAGGGCTAGTAATGGGAACCCTATTTCACATTTAACAGACGGACTAAATGGTTACAATAATGGCTGGCCTAATGCCATAGCATTTCATCAACCTCAGCCATTAAGTATGCCCTACACATATCCTCAACAAAGGTACTGTTATCAGCAAAAAGTGCTTCCCATTTTTAAAATGTTTTGTTGTCGTGAAATAACGTGTGGTATCTCTCATAGCTCTCAGATGCCTAAGTTAGAACAATTAAACAAATAATTTAGGAGGATGGTAAATTAGGCGTAGCTGAATAGCTTATATGAAGCTCTACTATGGTTACCAGAGGTCCCATAAGATTATTCCTGTTTAGACTGAAGTGATGAAGTTTCACATTGATTAGATTGAGTAGATGAAGTTTCCATACAGATTAGATTGACTGAGTCCTACTGGTGTGTTTGATCCACATTATTTTGGAAGAATGTATTTTGGAATAGTAGATTGATGGAGAATGTGTGGTTGAAAAGGAAGGAAAAGTTATTGAAGTGATGAAAACTATTATTTTATTGAAAGATGTGTGGTTGAAAATGAGTAGAAGAATGAGAATGAAAATTTTAATGTGTACCAAACAGGGGCTAATTATTATTATTATTTTGGATTGAATTCAGCTCCTTATATGGATGATGGGGTTTTATCCATCCTCTCTAAGTCGATAGTATATATTCTTATTCGAATGGGATACTAAACCGGTGAAATTGTATCTACTTCAGGTATTTGTGGTGTAAGCAAGAGCATGATCTTGAAGTTAATCGTAACATTCGTAACATTCATAACATTCATGACCTTCATCAACTTCATTCGGGAAATATGCAGAATTTCTTACAACCGTCTGTACTGCACAATCTCATGAGCTTGGATTCTTCGTCCATGGAACACGACTCGGGATCTAATTCTTTGGTCTATAGCAATGGAGCTGGAGGGGACAGCAACCGACATTCTGCATCCTATCAATTAGGCGAAGTAAATGGAAATAATGGTAATTTTGCAGTGCCAATGGGTATGGTGCTCGTTCAAGAAGGATTAAGCCAAAATCAGACGAATGGTTTCGGGGAGAATGAGGTAAAACCATTCATGTTTGGATCAGGAGATCCTTATCAGACAAGAAACTTGATGAGTTATGAATCCCAACAATCTTCTGATGGCATGGAGAAGGCTAGTGTTTATGATCAAGCCTCTGCTACTTGTAACAACTGGATGCCTACTGGTGTGCCAACTCTTGCAGCTAGACCTAACAATGTGGTTGTTTGTCATGGAGGCTCGACTTTTACGGTATGGAACGATACGTAGGATTCGACTAAGTTGATAAAAGATGGACGCCACACCGAAACCCGAAGAGTAAGTTTGGCATGTAGTATTTGACAATATTATGAAAAATTTTAGGATTTTTTTTTCATCTTTAATATTGTCATGTACAATCTTATACATGTTGCCAAGCATGCCATAAAAGTTGGTGGATCGAATTGATGTGTGCTTGATTAACCTCTAATTCTTTATCTTCTATTTGATAGGCCTTTGGTCTTGTTTTTAGTTTTACATATATACAAACATAGAGAAATTTCTAAATGTGGCATATCAATTTATTGGTGAATAAATTTATGACGAGTTTTAATATTTGAACTAAATTTATTATTCATAACATGTTATAAACGCTTAATATCGGTGTTTAGACCAATAAATTTATGACGAGTTTTAATATTTGAACTAAATTTATTATTCATAACATGTTATAAACGCTTAATATAAATTAATAACCGGTGTTTAGAGCATTTTCAAGAGACTACTATTTTATAAATAACATTTTATGCATTATAGAGAAAATTTTAATTTTAGAGAAAATTTTTTGCACTACAACAATGTTATCTATTTTGGTTCTTTTTCCAAAGCATATATATATATATATATGTGTGTGTGTCAATGATGAATCAATTCAGATATGATTTGAATAATTTAACGAGTAGAGTTTAAATCTGTAATTTATTAAACGTAATTATTATAAAATCCGATTCCTATTCATTATTTAAAAAAGTTAGTCTTTTAAAACTTATTTTTAAGTATTGACTCTCTAAAATAGAGAATAACTTGTGTTCAGAGATGCTTTTAGTACATGTATAAGATGTATAAATCTCATTTCTTGTATTTGTTTAGCAGGAAAATAGAAGAGAAAACTACAAAAAGGATTTGAAAGATATTAAAAAGTACCACTAAAAAATAGAGCAAAGAATTAGGATATGCACAATTACAAATCTCTTCTCAACGTACCATCAAGTTGTAGTTAAAAAGGAAGAAATATTGTAAAATCTCTTTAGGACCTGTGAGCCTTTCACCTCCACGTGTTGCTGTCAAGCTTTATAGCCTTTTGCGATTTGGAGATGCCTCATCTTTAAATTGAGTATTTAAGAAAATGTAAAATTCTTACTAGAAGAATGATACGATTCATCTTTTAAACTTTATATTACATTGAAAACTCTGAACTGTCCGAAGATGGTTGCTCTCTGCTACTTCTATGAAATATGTGGCATGACAATCTAATTATCTGCCAATAAAAAGCTTTTTATCAACCATACTAACAAACATAGATGCAATGACCAAATTGAACGAACATAAGTTCAATAAAAAAATTCAAATAAAGTATACTTCAATGCTTGAAATAAAATTAAATTAAGTGACCATTGCGAAATTTTGCTAGTAGATTCAGACATTACCACTGTTTTCAACCCTAAAAATCTAGTTATACTCGTTCAGGCGGGCCCAATGCACCTACTTAATTGTAAACATAATATACTAACTGATTTTTTGTTTATTTTTTATTTTTTTTCCCAGAGGATTACAGTACAGGTTACAACAATTGAATACAGAAACTATGTACAAAGTCTAACTGAAATGGGGGGGGTCCTTCCCTACTTTTCCTCAATTTTTCTTTCTACATTTCTTCATCCCACGTCCACCCATGGGAGAGGCAGAGCGACTGCACTGGCCGAGAGACACAACTTGGTTCTGTAAAACCAAGTATGAAAGCGTGATGAATGGATTCAGCGACGTTGCTGGCACATTTGGCAAACAGCAACTGATCTAGCATTTGCGTAGGTGCAAAATTCGCAAGACCAATGTCCTGAATCATCTATGTTTCGAGAACTGTTCGACCTGGATGTAGTTACCTTGCCTCTATTGCTTTTCCCCTTGCTACCTCCCAGATTTTTCGAGCTACCTGCCCTACTGCCACAGCCTTGGGAGTCTACATCTGACAGACCGTTTTCTAAAGCTCTGACCAAATTCTCAAAGTAATTCTTAGTCACGCTGCAATTGTTAGAATTCAAAAAAAATGAATGAGACAGGATATGAGTAATTTTTTGACATTATATTAAACGAAGAAATGAGAACTGAAGTGACATAAAATTCTGAGTCAAAAATATAATTTAATGGAGAGCTGTAACTCCATAAATGTTTAGTAATGTCCTAAATGTCATACTTCAACTTCTTTCAACTGCTACCCTTTTCTCCCCCTCGATTTTCCAGTCTGGGCTTTCTTTTCCTTGCCCCTCCTCAAACCCACAAAAAAGATAAAATAAGAAATCACTCTTTCGGGTAAATTTATTCACATGCCAACATTTCTGCCCTCGACTACTTCGTTTTCTCTATCTTCTCCTAATTTTATGATTGATCACAAGAAATCAATTATTTCTATGGTCTTAACCAAACATCTCTCTTAAGTTTAAAAAATAATTAAATCATTTTTCCCTAATTAAATGAACCACAATAATGTGAGCAAGATGGACCCTAGAAAGATATGATGTCCTCCCATTAAGACGAATGCATCCTAAACAACAGCACTTATACTATATATGCCTCTATGACCAGTTACAACATTTTTGTTTAATTCAGCTTTATAAGTATTAATCAACTCTCCGCTAAGATTCTGTTCAATTTTAAGTAAGCTTCCTATAGATTCTTTGAACTGCGACTCCCAACTGGTACAAGATATTTTTGATAAAATAGTACATGAACCAGGAACATGACCAGAAATCATCTCAAAGAGTACATTGTCTATCCATTTATAATGAATTTGGGACCGCAACTCCAAAATACATTTAAAATGCAAGAGCATTCAATGATCAGTCCCACAAAATATTCACTGAAATTTTAAACAGATAAATTTAGATTGATGATATGTTGAAGTCATATTAATTTCCACACCTTCAACAAGAAACATCAGCAACAGAACCAGTTCAGATATAATGCAATCTTTCATGAAATTCTATGATTTAGATCTAATGAAGGAAATAGAAAACGTTGATTTGAAGAAACAGCTATAACTGAAGTAACCTGGTCAATCCAGCTAACTTCGTGCGGAACTCGTTAAAGTCTTTGGATGGACCCTCAGCATTGAGATAGCCTTGAAATTCCTTCTCCGCGCATTGATGAAGACGTTCCAAACCAGACTCGGCCTCACCTAAAGAACACAAACACAACGTTAAATCAGAAAAAGGAAAAGATAACAAATAATATATGAGCCTCCAATTTCATACAGACCTTGTAGGTACTCAAAGAACTGCTTCTTGGCCAGCTCATGCTCGGGTAAATAATATCCATATGCATACGTCCATTTCAAAACCCGTCTACATTCGACAATCTGCGAAACGCCAATGTAAAGTTAAGAATAAATTATGCAACCACCTTATAGAAGATCTCAGAGGACCATAAAATGTTCCAAGTCAGAGAACATCCTTGGTGACATTTCTTTTTGACCTATCTTTTAAGACTACTGGGGATAAGAACAAGACAGATTAATCTGCAGGACACCGAATGCTTGAGTTTTCAAGAATACTGCTACATCACACTGATGCAGATTGCCTTCAAAGATTCCCTCAAGGAGAAGAGACTTAATATCAACTTTCTGTTTTGCGTAAAGAATCCGAAGATGTTGGACATTTTGCGATTGTTAACCATGATAAACTAGGTCGTACTTCTATATATTTGCAACGAACAATCAGTTAAAAGCACGTTCCTACGCCAATATATCTATATTTGAATCTTAAGCAGGAAAGTACAGCGAATTATGATAATGTTGCCAGATGAAACTAAAACCAATTTCATTAAATCCATCCTTTGACTTTTTGGACAGGAGAAGTCCTAAACTTCCTTATATCCAACTTCCAGCTAGAATTGTCACTTGCATAGACTGGCAACTTAGTGCACATTAATGCAGCCAATCAATCCCACTTGTCAATAGGAACTTGAAGTGAAAATTAAAATTTACCTGTAGCCAGGCCTCTATTATGAACTTCAGCTGAGATTCAGGTTGACATTGTTTATCACTCAGCTTTTCCAGCTGCAAAAGAAAATTATCATCAATGCCCTCTGTAATTCACACAAGAATAATGAACGGTTTGAGTAAGATCAGCAAGACATTTCCCTTTCCTCAAGGCCCAATCATCAAACAGCTATCGAGAAGCTAATAATCAACAACTAATGGTCCACATGCCAAATATAAATAATTTCTTTTTGACTTGTCTACAATTTGTATTGCAGTTACAAAGTTTTAACCACATTCATTTCAACTTTCGCTTTCACAAGTACCAAATAATTCTTAAAAGCATATGCACATTAGTTTCTGTGCCTCAATAATAATAATTTTATCCCTTTGTTCAACATTGTATATTGCTGGAATAGGCGGTCCAAGGTTGTCTAATAATTATAAACCAAATACATCACAAAAGTATAATATTTGATTAGTACCCGAGAGAAAAATAGATTCATGTATCGGCCTATGTAACACCCAGAATCATAGAAACGTGTCACTCAGTAGAGAAACTAGGAGGAGACTGCTTTATATTTGCTAATATCAAAATATTGAAGTAGTATTCACATACAAGATATCATCTTCATTCTAATCCATAGTTATCTAAAACCGTTGATTTTACACAAAAGCTGAGGTTTTAGCCCAGTATCACTGCACTAGCTCCTGAATGCTGGAAAGTAACTGGATCCCAATAGGAATCTACCTAATTCTGGTTTTATGCCGTTGAAGATATGGAAAGAATAATCTATGATATTTTTCCATTATAATATTTCCTTTTAGTGCAGGATTAATTTCCTTAGTAGTTGATTATGTAATCTTTCCTTTTATGTTTATTTCCTTTTACAGGTATTTGTAACCCTATAAATAGGGTCTTCTACTTTGTAATAGAAATAGTAGTAGATTACGTAATATTTCCTTTTATGTTTGTTTCCTTTTACAGTTATTTGTAACCCTATAAATAGGGTCTTCTACATTGTAATATTATTAAGTT